GGCAACTATTGATGCAAAATACTCCTGCTCTTTTACAAGACATGAAAAAGTTCTGTTACTACCCCCGAAAAAGTTCCTGAGCTATAAATAAAAATTGACTTTAAGTCACCATGGGCTAATAGGCGGCAATATAAATCTAATAAATAAATAAATATGCTGTTTTCCAATGTTCAAATATCACTGTTACAAACCATGCCCCAGTCTTGTAAATTTGTCATCATTATCATTATTACTCCTTTTGCCTATGATGGCTGAAGCAACACTGACTCATTGAAGCTAATTAATAAATTGATGGGATGATCTGAATCCAGATCTTGGTATGTGGCTTTGTGTTTTACCGCCTTTTCTACCCCATATTTTTAAACATTTGTCCTTCAAACGGGAGCAAGGTCAAAAAAGCTTCATTCACCTGTGACAACCAAATTGAGTACTATTCGTCCCTTTAGTTAGAAAAGAAATCAGGTCTCAAGTGTGACAGGAAAAGCTTAATCCCCAGAAAAAAAATCAAATTCCCCAAAAGCATTGGAGAATAATCTGTTCCTGAAGATGGAATTAAAACTCACACACAATACCCAGGAAATTCCTTACACTTAAGTCCAGGTTTGCTAATGCATAGGGATGCTTTTTAACAGGTCTGACTTGGCAGATGACCTCTCTTGTTTGTTCATATGTGTTTTCCAAAATATAAAAGTGAAATAGAGTCCCAAAGGCACTGTACTTGAAAGGTTATGAGAGTTAGAGATTTTAACCATGCCTGCCAAATCAGCAGATGGCTTGTGATTATAATTATATGCATCAATAAAACGAATAATCTTACAAAATTTGAATTTCTACTAAAGTAAGGGATTTAATAAGCAGATGCAACAGAATGCATTTTCTTTAACCCTTTTTGTTAAGAGTGACAGCTCACATACAGAACCCAACAAGTTCTGCTCAAGCAACTTATTAAGTTAAACATTATGAATTTTTTTCTATAGCATGAGTGATCTTTGGCCGAATAATTGTTTTGCTTTCACTCAACATACTACCCTGTTATCTTTGCTTCCAAATATCATTTATAGAAAAGTCATGATCCTTTGACAAAAGCTGATAAACATAACAGATCCTTATTGAAAAAAGATCCCAAATGAAAGATTGTTTGGGAATTTCATCCAACAGACTTTGGATCCGAAAGTATCTTGTTACGTCTATTGAATTTTAAATGTTTTTAAGGTCTGCATATGAAAATAATAAGTGCTACTCTCGCTTTTTTTAAAAAAAAAACATTCATTGCATGTTTACAATTGGATATATAAGGTTTAGTTGATAATATAAAACTTAGATATAGCACAATAAATTGGCAGGCACAATTATAAAGTGGCTGTCCAAATCTAAACTAATGAGTAGTACATTTTTATACAATCCATATGCACAGCTTGAGAGTAAACAGGGAAATCCAGTAGGCTTACTTTTAAACAAATATATTTAGGATCAGGCTACATGAGACAAATGTAAAGGAGCACATTAAGTTTAAATTGCTGGGCTGTTTTTATGAGCACAAAATAGAAAAAGAGCAATTTTGTTTGCAAATGGATTTATATCTTCATACTATAATTAAGGGACAAGAAAATGTCATTGAAGAACAATTTGGTTCAGCACGATGAAAACAGAGTCTCCTTTGGAGATAAGTCCTATTTAATGTTTGATTGCATTTGGACATTGTAAATATCACTTACTGGCTACAGAAGCAGTTTTTGAGCACTGTTTTATTCAGTATCATACATCTGATATTGATAGGGCTAAGAATTTTTTGATCATTACTTTTTTTTTCATTGAGAATAAACAAAACTAGTTTTTGATACTATGTAAATCTTTGTTTTACAAGGTTGATACTAATATTGCTTTTGGAAATATTAATATTTCGTTTTGCAATTCAACTGCTTCATAAACAACCAAAGAATAATGTTTCAATAGAAATAGAGTGAATGTCATCTTTCTATATCAGATGTATTATATGGGTAAATATGTTCCTTTGAAAACTGAATATTGATAATAATTCTAAGTAGTTTTCAAAATAAAATATTTCAATAACTTAAAAGAACATAAAATCACTTGAAGAAGGATTCTGTGATAGAACAGCACAGCTCCAAATCTCATTTCAAGTGAAAATAGCTTTGAATAATGCAATTATGATTTGAGGGAAAAAGAGTATAGAGGAATGCTTAGATACATCATTTCAATTAGTTTGCTTACAACAGCAAACTTAAGCACCCAGAATATTCCGTGAAGCTCAGGATCCTTGCATATCTTGCTTTTGATAGAAAGTTTTCTGTCAAGATATTGTTGGTTTCTTATGTAAGTGAGTGAGTGAGTGGGTGAGTGAGATAACAGTCATACTGGCAAAAAGTTAACTTTTGACAGGATTTACACATAAACCAAAACCCTATCCTCTCCCCACACACAAGCAAACATAGTAGGGACAAAGCTTAAAACAACTCAATCTATCTTGACTCCTCTCTTCCTAAGATACCTCTAAGACTTTCTCATTACCTGTTCTCTCCCTTGGAATTATTTTATTTTTCATTTGAGTGAGAAATGGAACTTAACTTTATATTTTGGAAGCAGTCTAAGCTTTTCTCATTAAAACATTTTTTTAAAAAGTTACCATACAGTTAACATTCTATTAACACAAGCCTTGACTAGCAAAGTTTGAGTGATTCTATCAAAATACTTACATTTCAACCACTGCTCCTTTATGTTCTTATATAGATAATAAAATGTTGCAACCTGGAATATTATTTTCTATAAAGGCCTTGAAGAGATTATTCTAAACATATTTAAAAAGCGTACATGTCATCTTCTTAAATTGAAAAAGGGGGAGTTCCCACATCTATAAACAATAGGAACAAGCCTGTAAATTGAAACTGCTGGTTAAAACTCTTAAAAAGTCAAGGAGCTTCATTCTGCACCATGCCATGTTTCAGTTATAAAATGATAAAAGTTTTTGAAGGTTGCAGGGTCTACTTCTAATGATATTTTTGAGTTACAGATCTACTCATGAAAAACATGGGAGGAATTAAACAAATATATTAGATATTTGAAATGTTCTTCAATAGTCTGGTGGCTATAAAGAGAAATATAATGCTCAGAAAAATTGTGTAGCCATAGTTTTTTATGAATACATTGCAAAATGTTCAGTTAGATCTTGAACCTGGCATGTGGTCATTTTGTAGGTTTGTAGACTTAACAAATACATGTTTTCCATTACAATTCTCCAAATTGTCTAAGCAATCACTTGATGCTACTCTGAAATTTTTCTATGAGAAATTACAATTGTAGGCAAGATTTTAACTTACTGAAGAAAAATGAACCATAAAAACATAAATTAGAAATGTTTCAGCTTAAAACTCTAGCTGAAATGACATGCTTTCCTGAGAAATGTAATGCGATTTGTAGATAGACTTGCTTGAATACAGCATTACTTTTTTCACTATATTTTATGTTACTTTTGTAGCAGTTAACAGTTTTGTAGAATTAAACAAACATATGTGTTACTGGGTTACAAACACTCAGGAACATATGGTACAATTGTAATTACTAACTTGAACTTGACACACTTCTAATTCAGCTTTCCTAGCAGAAGAAATTGAAGGTGTAAAGAACAGTTGTAGATGAATAACCTGGTATACAACATGCACATATTGCTATTCATTCTACTCAAAATTTAACTTTTAAGCATTCATAAAGGGGATCTGAATTTTCAGCATCTGTTATAATGAAGGTACTCTCAAATAATATTAATTCTGTGTTTGTGGTCTTCTACCCACGTTAATTTTTTCACTGATTGCAGTATGCTTTGATTTGCAGTTTTATGTTGCAATAATAAACCTCTTTTCTGTTCAAATTTGATATATCAAATTTGTGGTGTTTGCTTTCAAATAAATGTGTTCAGCTAGGTAGAAAACTTTCAATAAGCCCCTTATAAATACTTGAATAAAAATATAGCTTACAGAGGTTTGTAAATTACCTCAGAATACTTGCTTTCCAAAATACAATAACTAAATAAAAAAAGAGACTATACCAGCATGGTATAAAAACGCTGCATTTGAAATTTTAACTATTAGTCAAAGGCAAATAATAGAATGATTTTTATCAACAGAGATATTCAAATGCATATCTTACATATTTGTAATTGATGTTCACTTTTCATCTATTACTTTGGTTTTGAAGATAAGAGCAGAAGAAAGTGTTTCAGGTAACAAGACTTTCTTACAACTTCCTGTTGCCATTTTCCCCCCAGAATATGAACAACAACAAGATAATATATATATACAGAAATATCCTTTGATCTCCTAAACTCAATGATTGCTACTTCAACAACAAAACCATACAAGTTTGATTAGCTGCCATTTTTACACTTTTATAGATTTTAGGACTGTAATCAAAAGTACCTTACATTCTTCTTTTATTTTTTAACTAAAGCATAGAGACTTTGACTTTGATGTAATGCTGTGGCTTCTATCTGAAATATTATTTTATGAAAATATCATTTCCAATGCCATTTTTCTTAAGCACTTGGCAAGTTGATGGAAATGTGAAATTAATCCACAGTTATGGTTGTTCTATAGCTTCAAGCACTTTCAGTTCTGCAGAGAACTAGAAAAGAGTAGGTTCCTGCAAAGTTGACCATACAGGATGAAGAAACAGCAGAGGTAGCACTTATCAGATTCAGATATGACAAAAGAATGCATTCCTCCCCACTACCACCTCTTAAGTCCCCCACAACATTAAGTTCACTGAGCATCCCATCTTTCCACTTTACTTTAGAAATTCAAAACTTTTGTGAAGATGACAAAGAGAGAAAAAAGCACCATGTCTTTTTAAAAATCCGCTATACTGGAGTGGCACAAAAGCTTTCCTTGCATTATGACCTACTTGTCCAGAAATGGACTTCCAAGCCTATGCTTAGGCTAAAATTTGCTCTACTTTCTCCCCAGGGCATAATTGTCAGACTGACTTACCGTGTGCCTTTTAGCCTTTGTTCTGTCTCTCGCGCTGACATCAGGGAAGCAGTGATGTAGAATAACGCAGGGGTGGGCTAGGTTAGTCCAGTGTTTGTGTCGTTGTGTGGTGTGCAGGGACACTCTGTGATACTCTAGTGAGCTGCTAAGCTTTTTTTGTAGGCTTTGTGTCATTTACTTAACGACCAATCTCATTAGCTGCCAGGGTACAATGGGCTGATGCATTTTCTATGTACATACTCCACACGCTGACCCTCAAGGTTGCCGAAGGTCTATTTAATCAGTCAGATGCTGAATATATTTGCAGTAAATCACTAAAAAAAAAAGGCTACAGAGGTATCTCATGAAGCTTTAATGTTTCTTGGGAGCTTGTTGAAGGGAAGAGGCATGAGATTTAAACATAGACAATGGGGCAGAATGGAATGGGACAGTAGGAAAGCTTTGCACTGGTGACCTTTAATAATTATCACAACTTTGTTACCTAGATCCTGAACATTTGTGAATGTTAATTTCTGCATAGAGATCATGCTTCAGGGTAATTACATTTTCATCCTGAAATCCCTTTAAACAAATGAAACAAAATAAGATGAGTCTTTTTTTTCCCCCACACAGGTGGGCAAAGGTGTGCTTTCCTCGCTCCCTCATTCCATGCACCCTCAGAGCTGGCATTCATGAATCTCTGCTCTCTCTTCAGTTACAAGCCATAAACCCTTTTAACTCCTATGAAGAATGACATGCTCAAAACCCCACTGAATGACGACAGCTGTCCATAAGTATCAGGGAGAGTTCTATTGTCCAACTTGTCCCTAGATAAAATGAATACTTTACAGCAGAGGCTGTTCAGCTTGGCTAAAGAGTATGGGAATAAGGGGAGGAGGTCACTGGAGATTTCGCTCACTAATTTAATCTGGGAAAAGGACAGGCACTGCATCTCACTTGAACAGACTGGCGGCAATCTGGGCACTCACAGAACTATCTCCTTTTGCCTGTGCTCTATTTATTCCTTATCTCTGTTTACCAACCGCTAGGTCCCTTTCATTCACACCATGAGGCCGTTCTCCTACTATCAGTCAGCAGCTGACACTGTAGAAGAGCCTCAAAGGCAAAAAAAAGAAAGAAAAAAAAAGAAAAGAAAGAAAGAAAGGAGGGGGGGGTCAAAACTAAACCAAAGCTGTATAAACAATGAAGCAGCAGAAGTAAATGCATAAATCCTAATTCTTAACCCAACCCATAGGGTGTGCACAGAATCTTTATAGTAAATCCAGCAAGCCCAGAGTAATGAGCTATGGGCTAGAGAGGAAACATGGATAGCCAAATATCATTCATGAAATCATCATCTCAGGAAGAAACACAAATGCACACATTTTATATGCTCAGCATGGCATGTATGATAATTGCTTTACTGTTTAAACTTTATCACTCAATATGCTCATCAGGCAGAAATGAGTCAGATTCGCCTATCAATGCCTGGTTTAAAAGTTAAGGAGTTTTTTTTTAAAATCTATCAAACTTTTGATAAATGTTCCATTCATTTCTGGATTTTAAGTACAGACATAACAGAAGATAGACAGGAATGATATGTTTATTTCTATAGTAGTGTAACCTTTCTATAGCACTGTTCTGTATTAAGCATTAAGTCAGATTTCTCAAAGTAATGCCCTCCAGAGGTTTGGAATTCAATAACCTTTGCACCCAGGACAGCATTGCCAGTGGCTGTTCTAAGTGATCTAGTCAAATAATTCTAGCAAACAAATAAGCAAAAACTCATGTGACTTCCACATATAACTCTTGTAAAACTTTAGTAGATTTGAAAGAAGGCGCGTCAAAGTGTAGGAAAGAAATATTTCCTCCCACTTTCCTCTCTGTGCACAAGACAAAAATATACATGCCTTCCTTCAGGAATACATCTCACTCTTGAATATTGAATTTATGTATTCAGATTTAATTCTCAATTGTAAATTCAGTTCACTTTAACCAAACATAGTCAGCTTCTTAAATTGTTTTACTGTTAGGGAAAGGAAACCAAATGTATTTATTTACTCATTTAATATAAGTCAGAGAGTAGTTTCCCAGACAGTAGTTTCAAAGTTGTGTAGAATAAAGTTATAGCACAAGAAAATGGGAGGTGTGTCTGAAACTATTACCTGGTACATTTGAAAAGAACTAGTCTGCTTTTTTAAAAAATGAAAGTAATAGATTATATCATTCAAAACATTTCAGATACATTTTAAGGATTGTTGGAAAAATAGTGACAGAAATATTGATCATTATCAAAGATGATCTATTATGACAAATTTCAGATTTGATTTCCACCTATATGCATTATGAGCAATGAAGTCTTTAGTACTTGGATCCTTTTTTTCCAAATGAATTAATGAATTAAATTTATCCTTTCACCAGCTGCTAGGCAGCAGATGGAACCATTTCTGAAGCCTTGTTGAATTCAGTCCATAAAACTCATTTCCTAGGATTAGCAGTCCAAAGTTTCTTTTAATGTTTATATACCGCTTGGGATTTTAAATTTCATGATGCTGAACTTTTAGCTTAATAATGATTTCTCTCTTGAAGTTTTATATCAAAAAAACTTAACAACAGTCTTCTCAAAACAAGGTAGGCCATAGAAAAGTTGAATTCATTTAAACAGCAAACAGGTAAACCAAAGGGGAAGTTGCTTACATTATCTGAGTGCCATAAAGCATGTCATATAATCAAATATAAATTCCAACTGGAAGATTTGCAGGAACAATTAACTTACATTAGCAAACATACACAGAAAAGCAGATTTTGAACTCGCTCATATTACCTATGATATCAAATCCAAAATATAACCATGCTTTCCACATCAAAACTTCTTAAATGTTAGTAACTCTGTGAATTCTATTTCTGACTAATATAAAACTGGCGATATTTTATGTATGTTGTTTGTGACTTTTAGTCTGTAACAATAACACATGAAGCTTCAGTGTATTCATTTAAATAGATATGTTTGAAAACTAAAAGTTTTTAAGGTAGATATTATTTGGAATTGCAGCAGCACAGACAAGCAGTGAATATAAAAAGTTTGCTGGGTAATACAGTCTTTAAAACAATTATTGAGAAAAGAACCATGGACAGCTCCACATTTGCTTTCTTTCCCCCCCTTATTGCTAAATTTCATTCAGCACTGAATAAGTGGAAAAAGTTTTACTATTTCGTACTGCAGAGACAAAATTATCTGTGCTGTGTGCAATTTATAAAGACAGAACCGCTTAAAAAGCCTTCTGTATAACTTTTCAGGAAATAAAAGAATAAAAAAATCTTTGTTCTTTACAACAATGATTTCCACTAATTTGACACAAAAAAATCAATATTAATCTAATAGTACAATAAGACAAGAAGTTCACATAGTAATAATTATAATTCAGAAACTGAATGTTTAGGAAGAGAAGAGAGGAAAAAATAGCATTCTTAGCCTGTGGGCATCAATTAATTACAAACACAAGTGATATTGTGTGGAATTCTCACAAACTAAAAATGTAACTTAAATTTGCAAAGTTTCTGTTCCAGACATCACTTTCACTTAAAATCCCCATGCAGAAAATTAACTGAAACATCATAATACTTA